GATATGCGCCGTAGCCTCGTCAATGCATATTACCTGAAATATACGACGACCGAGATTTAACACGAAATGCACCATAGAACAGAAAATGACTAAGTATGCGGAAACCCGAAATGCAGGTTCCGTTGCCCAACTCGATACGATTTGCTTTAAGCCAGAACTTAAGTCGAATATAACATTACTGTAGATGATTATGAAAAGTACACACTGATCATAAATATAAATTTTTCCCACTCCAAAGAACTTTGAGACAAACAAGTCAGAGAAAAAATATTAGTATTAACAGAAACCTGAACTTATTTTGAAAGAAATCTTGAATTCGTTTATGTGTTTCTCGAAATACGTGAACACCTGTTACGCTGTCTCTTAAAAGAAACCTTGGTAAGGTTTAATATCAGAAGCGTTTCTACGTGTTTCCATTTTCCTGGTCAAATTTTTAAAGGTACCTACCTCATTTGGACAAACTTCGGTTCGTCAATTACTGGCAAGGCAAGATCATCTACCTGTGGGTGTAATCACGAGGAAAAAATAGAGGAAGAGGCCGCAAATACACGCATACGCTCTGACATATTTAAGGAAAATTGAAGAACATCCAGCCAACGGCGAGAAATGCCATTAGAGTACTGCAGAGAGCGATGATCCAACTAGAGGTGCAGATGGTTGAACACTACCGCAAAGGCAGACATCAGTAACTCTCACTAAATATACATATTGCCGAATCCAGAAAAGCCACTGTGAGAGCAAACCCGTGTTCAGATATAAAATCTGTGTCAAGAAACGTTGTCCGTAGTTCAGTGTTGTTCGGGTCGTTCACTAAACAGCAACTGTTTCACGCCTTGACTGACAGCTAAGTGATTATTTGGAACTAACGATTTCAGAACTATCAAATCATCCCAAAGATTAGAACAACAGAATCAACAGTATTCTTTTCCACGCAATGCAAACTTGGATAAATAAGCAGACTATGACAACTAACAAACATTGCTCCGTTCATACCTCAGTTAGCCTTTTCAATTTTACTATTATTTATTTATTATCAACATATATTGCTTGATTTAATCTGAGCTATAAAAAATTTTCTGGCCAGTTTGTTTTAGAAATAAACTTAACTTTAGATCTTCGAAACTTATGAACTTAACAAGACTTCAAAGCCCCAATAATTATCAGTATTTTACGCATGCTTCGTTGATACATGAGTTTGCAAACCAAACCACACAAATGTCAACACTTATATGATCAACGCGTTTCGTCACACACTCCGTGGCGCTGCATGGTACAAGCAATTATCAGGCATCTAACCACCTTATAAACACAATATACCTCGATACAAAGTTAATATCTCATTGGTACCAAATTTTGACCATCGTATCGATAACTTTAAA